CTTAATCTATAGATTCAAAACTATCCCAATCAAAATTCCAACAAGTTGCTTTGTGGATATCAACAAAGTAATTCTAAAGTTTGTGTAGAAAGGTAAAAGACTCATAAAAGCCAACACAGTTGCATTGGCTGAAATAGAACAAGGCTAGAGGACTGACATTACCTAATTTCCAGACTTGCTATAAAGCTACAGTAATAAAGACAAAATGGTATTCATGAAAGAAGAGACACATAGGTTAATGGAACAGAACAGAAAGCCTATGAGTGGACCTACATAAATATATTCAATCAATCTTAACAAAGACATGAACACAATTTACTGGAGACAGGATAGGTTTTTCAACAAATGATGAGGGAATAATTAACACCCACAGTCAAAAAAACAACATTACACCTTACCCAAAAAATAACTCAAGATGAATCATAGACTTAAATGTAAAATACAAAACTATAAAACTTCTAGATGATAATTTAGAAGGAAATCTAAATGACCTTGGATTTGGTGATGACTTTTTAGATACAACCCCAAAAGCACAATCCATGACAAAAATAACTGATGTTAGACTTTGTTAAAATTAAAAACATCTGCTCAGTGATATACATTGTTAAGATAATGAAAAGACAAGCCACAGACTGGGAAAAAATATTTGCAAAGCACAGATCTGTTAAAGGTCTTGTATTCAATACATAGAAAGAACTCTTAAAATTCAGTAAGAAAACAAACAACCCAGTTTTTAAGTGAGCAAAAGATCTGAACAGACACTTATGAAAGAAGATATCCAGATGGCAACAATATTATGAAATGATGCTCAACATCATATGTCATTAAGGAATTTCAAATTAAAACAATGAGATTACACGCCGATCACAGTGATGAAAACCCAAAACACTCACACCACCAAATGCTGATGGAAATGTGGAACAACAGGAACTCTCATTCATTGCAGGGAATGCAAAATGGTGCAGCTAGCTTGGAGGACGGTGTGGCCACTTGTTACAAAGCTAAACAGAGTCTTACCATGTGGTCCAGCAATCACACACCTTGCTGTTTACTCAATTGAGTTGATAATTTATGCCCTCACAAGAACCTGTATAGGAATGTTGATAGCAGCTTTTTCCTAGTAGCCAAAAACTGAAAGCAATCAAGATGCTCCTTCAATTGATGAATATATAAATAAATCCAGGCAATGGACTATCTTTCAGTGATAAAAAGAAGTGAGTTATCTAGCCACGAAAAGACGTGGAGCAACCTCACATACAATGCATGTTGGTAAACAAAAGACACTAAAGTGACATAAGTGTCATACTTATTGTAGGATTCCAACTATGGGACATTTTTGAAAAGGCAAAACAATGAAGACAGTAAAAAGATCTGTGGTTGCCAGGAATTTGGAGGGAGGAAGGGACGGATGAATAGGCAGAATGCAGAGGACTTTTAGGACAATGAAACTGTTGTATATGATGCTATAATGGTGGATACATAACATTATACATTTGTCCAAAACCACAGAACGTAAAACACAGCCAGGCATGGTGGCTCATGCTTGTAATCCCAATGCTTCGGGAGGCCAAGGTGGGAGGATTACTTGACCCAGGAGTTCGAGACCAGCCTGGGCAATATAGGGAGACCTCATCTCTACAAAAAAAAACTTTTTTAAATAATGCACAACACAAAGAATGAACCCTAATGTGAACTGCAGACTTTACTTAATAAGGCACCAATATTGGTTCATTGGTTATAATAAATGTACCACACCATTGCAAGATGTTAATAATAGGGGAAACTGTGGAGGAGGAGGGGTGTATTGGGAACTCTCTGTACTTTCTGCTCAATTTTTTAAAATAAAGAAAAAGTCGGGTTGCTAAAGCTGGCAAGGTCCACAAAGCAGTTCTTCTCACCACTCTGGTTTTTACCCTTTATTTGTGGCCCCTGAAAATTCCCCTTAAATGATGAGAGATAATCTGTGACTTTAAAAGGACACGTATGACATCCAAGTTCAAGAAGCACTGTATTGCAGCCTCCCTCTGCTCCCTGATTCCTCCAGAAAAGCACAAGGATTTAATCCAGATAGATATAAATTTCACCTGGGATCATTTATCATTCCACATTCTTCTTTAAGAAATATACTAGGCTGAACGCAGTGGCGCACGCCAGTAATCCCAACACTTTGGGAGGCGAGCGGTGGATCAAAGTCAGGATATCAAAACCATCCTGGCTAACAGGTGAAACACAATCTCACTGAAAAATACAAAAATTGGCAGGCATGGTGGCAGTTTCATAGTCCCAGCTACTCGGGAGGAGAGAATGGGAGCTCTGGGAAGTGGGCTGCTGTGAGCAGAGATTGCCCACTGCATATACAACCTGCATTGACAGAAGCGAGACTCCATTCAAAAAAAAAAAAAAAAAAGAAAAAGAAAAGAAAAGAAATATATGTTTAAGAGCCGCAGATTAGGTCTTCATGAAAGCGAAGGAAAAAGCCATGGAAGTTTCCCCGTTGTGATGCAGCATCATCATTATTCTGGCTGGAGCAACTACATATGTTGGCTCTGGTATTTCAGGAGACACTCCATCTACAGTCCTGCTCTCCCACCTCAGCTGGGAACACGAGAGGGCTGATGGAATCCTGAGCTGCACTTTTGAACTTGACATCAAACTTTCTACAGTATTGTGATACAATAGCTGATGGAAGGAGTTATAGGCTTTGTCCATGAGTTCAAAGAAGGCAAAGATGAGCTGTCAGAGCAAGGATAGAGAAATGTTCAGAAGCCTACAATGTAAGCTACAAATCAAGTGATAGTGTGACCTCTCTGCGGCTGAAAAAACATACAACTCACAGATGCTGGCACCTACAAATGTATACCATCACTTAAGGCAAGGGAATGCTAACCTTGCATATAAAACTAGAGCCTTCATGCCAGAGGTAGTAGACTATAATGCCAGCTCAGAGAGCTTGCAATATGAGGCTCACAGTGGTACCTCCAGTTCGGTAGTGAAAATCCCTAGTTGACTAGGAGCCAGAGTTCTCAGACGTCTCCAATACCATCTTTGAGCTGAACTCTGAGAATGTGACCATGAAGGTCGTGTCTGTGCTCTACAATGTTACGATCAGCTTAACCGCGTACTCCTGTATGATTGAAAATGACATTGCCAAAACAGCAGGAGATATCAAAGTGACAAGTCTGAGATCAAAGGTAAAGTCTACAGCTGCTGAACCCAGGAAGCCTCTGTGTGTCTCTTCTTTTTGCCATCAGCTGAGCACTTCTGCTTCTCCTCCTTACCTCATGCTAAAATGATGTGACTCGGCCACAAAAAAGGCATGCAGAGTCATTTGTGCAGCAGGGATCTACAGAACTAGCACCACCAGATATGACCTAGTTTATATTTCTGGGAGGAAATGAATTCATATCTAGAAGTCTGGAGTGAGCAAACAAGAACAAGAAACAAAAAGAAGCCAAAAGCAGAAGGCTCAATGAACAAGATAAATCTATCTTCAAAGACATATTCGAAGTTAGAGAGAAAATAATTCATCTGAACTGGACAAGTGTGTTAAGGTAATACCTTACCTCATGCTAAAATGATGTGACTCGGCCACAAAAAAGCATGCAAAGTCATTGTTACAACAGGGATCTACAGAACTATTTTGCCACCAGACATGTCCTAGTTTTATATTTCTTGGAGGAAATGAATTCATATCTAGAAGTCTGGAGTGAGCAAACAAGAACAAGAAACAAAAAGAAGCCAAAAGCAGAAGGCTCCAATATGAACAAGATAAATCTATCTTCAAAGACATATTCGAAGTTGGGAAAATAATTCATCTGAACTGGACAAGTGTGTTAAGAGTAATAAGTAAAATGCACATAGAGACAAGTACATCCCCAGATATCAGGGACCTCCTCCTACCTATCAACTGGGGAATGAGAGGATAGGATACTGCGTGTCCTTTGTCTCTGAAATTTTAGTTATCTGTGCTGTGATGTTTCTCTGAGGAAGCTCCTGGAAAGTCTCTATCCCAACATATCCACATCTTATATTCCACAAATTAAGCTGTAGTGTATATTCTAAGACGCTGCTAATTGACTGCCACTTCGCAACTCAGGGACGGCTGCATTTTAGTAATGGGTCAAATGATTCACTTTTTATGATGCTTCCAAAGGTGCCTCAGCTTCTCTTCCCAACTGAAAAATGCCAAAGATCATAACTTTAGCATAAACAAACCAGTCTGTGGCACCGATTTTATAAGTAAACTGAGTACCTTCTTTTCAAACAAATGCAGGTTTATTTCTCAGATGATGTTCATCCGTGAATGGTCCAGGAAAGGACCTTTCACCGTGCCTATGTGACATTATGTCATCACAAGCTCTGAGGCTTCTCCTCTCCACCCTGCGTGGACAGCTATGACCTCAGTTTTCAACAGCATCTGGAGCAGCGGGACTCAACTGGGGTGATTTCGCCCCCCATCCCCGGGGGGAATGTCTGAAGACAGTTTTGGTTGCCACAGTGAGGGAATGAAGGAGGACACGGTGCTATTAGCATCTAGTGGATAGAGGCCAGGGGTGCTGCTTAACCTCCTACTGTGTACAGGACGTCTCCCCATTACCACACCCAGTCCCAAGCGTCAACTGTGTCAGGGCTAAGAAATCCTGATTTAGAGTAGAAAAGGGCCTAGAAAGAGGGGAACAAACAAATCTCTCTGCTTCCTCACATTAGTCATTGGCAAATAAGCATTCTGTCTCTTTGGCTGCTGCCTCAGCACAGACAGCCAAAACTCTATCGGACACCAAGATAACATCTTTCAGAGAACAGAGTTGACAAGGCCTGTGAGAAATGCCTGATGGGATTATCTTCAGCTTGTTGAGCCTCTAAGTTCCTTTCCCTTCATTCTACCCTATAAGCCAAGTTCTGTAAGAGAACTGCCTGGGTTCTACCTCAGGTTTTCCCACTCTGAATTTAGATCTCCAGACCCTGCGTGGCCACAATTCAAATTAAGGCAACAAACATACCTTCCACGAAGCACGCAGAGACTTTTGAAAGCAGGGACAATGACTGTTTGAATCGAGGACTTGAGGAATGAAGCTTTGATGGAAAAGAATGCTTTGTTTCCAGCCCCCTTCCTACACTTTTCGTGTCTTAACCACTGTCTTCCTGGCCCTTGGAGCCACCGTGTCTGTGTTACATTTTGTTATAGAAAACTGATTTTAGAGTTCTGATCGTTCAAGAGAATGATTAAATATTTATTTCCTAAAAAAAAAAAAAAGACACATATATTTTATTTAGCATTTCTAGAGAAAGTTTTCAGTTTAACCAGTTCACAAATACTATTAAAAATGGAAATCAAATACTCTCCTTCAGATAAAATTTTCAAGGTGCTTCTGGTTGCAAGCATCAAAACCAACTGTGACTGATTTAGGCAAAAGGGGAATTTATTGGCTTGTGGCATGGCCTGTTAGTCAACTTGCATTGCTATAAAGGAATATCTGAGACTGGGTACTTTATAAAGAAACAAGGTTTCTTGTTTTGTTTTGTTGTTGTTTTTTGGTTTTGTTTTGTTTGTTTTGTTTTTTGAGACAGAGTCTCGCTCCATCACCCAGGCTGAAGGGCAGTGGCATGATTTCAGCTCACTGCAACCTCCACCTCCCAGGTTCAAGCAATTCTTCTGCCTCAGCCTCCCAAGTAACTGGGATTACAGGCACCCACCACTAAACCCAGTTAATTTTTTTTTTTTTTTTTGTATATTTAGTAGAGATGGGGTTTTGCCATTTTGACTAGCCTGGTCTCAAACTTCTGACCTCAGGTGATCCTCCCGCTTCAGCCTCCCAAAGTGCTGGGATTACAGGCATCAGCCACTGTGCCTGGCCAAGAAATGAGTTTTATTTGGCTCGTGATTCTTCAGGCTGTACAAGCATGGCACAGGCATCTGCTTGGCTTCTGGTGGGGCCTCAGGAAGCTTTTAGTCACGGCAGAAGGTGAAGCAGGAGCCAGCGTATCACAAGGTGAAATGGGGAGAAAGAGAGAGACGGAGGGGTAGCCAGCCTCTTTTAAACAACCGGATCCCACGTGAACTCATAGAGTGAGAACTCACTCATCATCACTTGGAGGAGAGCACCAAGCTGTTCATGAGGCATCCCCATCATAACCCAAACACCACCTACTAGGCTCCACCTCCAACACCAGAGATCCCATTTCAACAGGAGATTTGGAGGGGACAAAACATCCAATCTATGTCAAATTGGGCCGCTTATGTGACAACTGAGAAGAGATCATAGTGCCGCTGGACCTGCAGAAACAATTGTGGGCAGCCCCGCTCCTTTGCCTCCTTGTCTATGGGCCGCAGGCTCTGCCTCACTGAAGCATGTTCTCTGCCACCCTGCAGAGCAATGCCCCACATGGGCTCCGTGCCCAGGAAGGATGCTGCTGGAGCCACACACCCACCCCTATGGGCCGTCTGGAGGGAGGGAGCATTTAGAGGAAGAGACAGCCACTGCAGGCACAGAGTGTATTGTGTCTACACGTTCACCTTTTTCTACCTTCTGTGTGTTGTGATGAAACTGTCCTGGGGAGAGAAGGAAAGGAGATGGAGTTGGCCAAGGCTCTGTGGTCACAGCACATTGAAGGAGTGCAGGAGGCTGTAGAGTCAAAGCCAGAGAGGCTGGTCTGCCTACAAAACGAGAGGCCCTGGCACTGGAGCTCAGGAGCTAAAGGGGCTGACCACTTCCTGACAGAGCAGGAGTTTCACCATCTTGGACAAGCACTGTCATTTTAAAGGTCACCTTAACCAAAAACCACCCAAATCCAAAGGGTGTAAGCCTAATGGCTAAGGTCAACATGACCACAAACCACAAATAACATCTCTCATCAGAAACATTCCAAACTCCTCCCTGACCAGAGACATGCTAGCCCCAAGATAAGCCCCCTCTGGCCAGGAAGATGCTCAGCCCCAAGGTAACAGACATTCCGACCCCACCATAAACTTCTCCCCACACAGAAACATTCCAAGCTTGTGATAAGCCCCCTCACCCTAAAACCAATATGTTACGTATTGCTGGCCCTGGCACTGGAGCTCAGAGCAAAGGGGCTGACCACTTCCGGACAGAGCAGGAGTTTCCACCATCTTGACAAGCACCGGTCATTTTAAAGGTCACCTTAACCAAAACCACCCAAATCCAAAGGGTGTAAGCCTAATGGCTAAGGTCAACATGACCACAAACCACAAATAACATCTCTCATCAGAAACATTCCAAACTCCTCCTTGATCAGAGACATGCTAGCCTCAAGATAAGCCCCCTCTGGCCAGGAAGATGCTCAGCCCCAAGGTAACAGACATTCCGACCCCACCATAAACTTCTCCCCACACAGAAACATTCCAAGCTTGTGATAAGCCCCCTCACCCTAAAACCATAATATACTCTTAGTCTGTAAGAGAAAGCACTTCTTGACTGAAATCAACCAGAAAGCTCTCTCTCGGATTTGTTCTTAAAATAAACCTGTCTTTAACTGTTAAGCTATGTTTCGTGTTTCTCTCCTCTTTAACTCTTACACTTCTCTTCTAGCTTTGCTCCCCAGAGAGGCGGGCTGGGATGCCCAGGGTGGTGCGGGGGTAGGACGCCTCTATCAGTAGTTCTACTGAGACACCATGAAAGCAGGGTGTGTCCCCAAAGAGAAATGCAGGTGGCCCCAAAAGAAGGAGGAAGGATTGCTGGGTAGGCAGAGATGGCAGATGGGGTGTCAGAAGGATAGGGCCACTACCAGGGCCAGGAATTAGGCAAGAGAAGGAATCTTTCTCCTGGTACAAAACTAGACAATGCTGTGTCCACATCACATGATGAGACCTGTTCAAAAGAACTAGTGGGGAGATAGCCTGGAGCTCTCCTAGAGGGACAATGAACCTGAATCAGAGTTAGGAAAGGGCCAGAGCACAGCTTTCCCCAACCCCCAGGCATAGGACAGAGCCCAGCCTCCTCCTTCCCCAGTGATGAGACCAGAGCCCAGCCTTGTCCCTCCCCAGCCACAGGGCCAGAGGCCAGCCTCGTCATTCCCCAGCCACAGGATCAGAGCCCAGCCTCATCCTTCCCCAGCCATGGGGCCAGAGCCCAGCCTCCTTCCTCTTCAGTACTGGGGCCAGAGTCCAGCCTCCTCCTTCCCCAGTGATGAGCCCAGAACCGAAGCTCCTCCTTCCCCAGTGATGAGCCCAGGGCCCAGACTCCTCCTTCTCCAGTGATGAGCCCAGAGCCCAGCCTCCTCCCTCTTCAGTACTGGGGCCAGAGTCCAGCCTCCTCCTTCCCCAGTGATGAGCCTAGAGCCCAGCCTCCTCCTTCCCCAGTGATGGGGCCAAAGTCCAGCCTCCTCCTTCTCCAACCTAGGGCTGGGGAATTGCCCCAGGCCATCCACCTCAGAGTCAGCAAAGTCTGAGCAAATATCTCCTTTACATCAAGCATGTACTGGAGGTTGGCAAGACCCAGAGAGGAGTATCTCTGTCACCTGGGGGACTGGGGAGGGTGGAGGGAATGGGAAAGCGGGGGTTGTTGAGAGAGGCGGGCTGTTGACAGAGGAGGGACCCCCTCCTCTGTCCTTTCCACCGCACATGGCTTTCCTGAGGCCCTTTGACTCCTAGGTGAAGAATTTCATGCCCTCATGGGACATGGGCCAAGGGAGCATTTGGGGAGCAAATGCCCTTCCCTGGCCATTGTGTGGGGGTGGGGCTCAGGCACAAATGGGGTTAGAAGGGCATGGGCCTGTGGACTGTCCAGGGCCTTGTGGGTCCGGAAGAGACCCACCGGCATGAAGACCCTCCAGGCTCAAGACTAAAAGCCATTCCCTGCAGGGCTCAGCTGGAAACTAAGGAGCCCCATCACCGCCCTCCACGGCTCCCCATCGTAACAGCTGCTGCTCACTCTGTAATCAGGAGAGCTCAGGCAAGGGGGGACTCAGCAAGAGGAGCTGGGGACTGGGGAGGACCCATCTCTGACATGCCGAGCTCCCGCTACCACACAGCTGGCGGCTGTGCTGCCCCTCTAGGCTCCACCACTCCCTCGAACCCTTGCCTGCTGCCCTCCTTCCCTTCCACAGCCAGGCCGCCTGCTGCATCTGCAGCCTCATAGCAGGTGGCCTCATCCTGGTGGGTGAGACTAGGGCTCAGAGAGGCTCGGTGCTTCCTGCAGTCACAAGGTGAGTGGGGCCTGGCTGTCTCCATCCTGAAGCTGTGTTCTCTCTGTGACACTCAGCTGCTCCCACTCCCCATCTGAGAACTAGTCATCAGTAGGGCCACCTTCAGCTTCTCCTGAGTCCCAACAGCGGGGAGCCCAGAAGTAATGTGGTGTTGTTGTTTAAGCCACTGTTGTCTGGAATGGCTTTTGATGTAGCAATACATCACTGAAAGAGTTCACATTTTAAGTAGCCACAAAGAATATTCCCAGCACACTGTCCGTATGAAGAGCTTTAAGTGAAATTATTAGAATGCTCTTTTTAAATAAAAGGCAATTTGATGCCCAGCATCATCCACTTTAGAAAATGCATTAACAAACATTTCCTTTTCAGTGAGAAATTTAACACTGTTCCTTTCACGCCTTGAATTTGTATTTATTCCAGTTCCTCCAAAGAATTTGACCCTAATATATATGTTTTGTGCTTGAAGATCTTTCATTGAACAATGTCATATGTTTCTATAACAAAAAATATATCATTTTAATCTAATTTTTAAAAATTTCTGGCTGGGCATTGTGGCTCACACCTGTAATCCCAGGTGATTATAGGGAGGCCAAGGCGGGCAGATCACGAGGTCAAGAGTTCGAGACCAGTCTGGCCAACATGGTAAAATCCCATCTCTACTAAAATACAAAAATTAGCCAGGCGTGGCAGTGGGTGCCTGTAATCCCAGCTACTTGAGAGGCTGAGGCAGAAGAATTGCTTGAACCTGCTCGCTTGAGCCAAGATCGTGCCGCTGCACTCCAGCCTGGGCGACAGAGTGAGACTCAGTCTAAAAAACAAAAAAATTCCTGCAACCATATGTTTCTATGTATTTAAAATGTCATCTGGGTTGAATTATAACAATTATTATTAATGCACAGTTGAGCAGTAGTAAATATACTTAAAATTTAAAGAATGATTAAACATAAAAACTCCTATTTTATTGGAGGAATGTATCTTTTTTGAAATAGAACGTTTTTGATTGGTTCATCATGCATAGGTGGATGCTGTTTATTGCTAGCCTGACAGTTTCATCACCCATTTCATCTCTTTTCTTA